ATATATAAAGTGATAATTAGTGGTTCTTGATGAGGACCAAATGGTTCACCGTGTATTTCGAGACATGGCAACATCACATCCTGTAACATGGCTTCAACATATTCGTGTCAAATTCTAATCCAAGGACAAATAAAAGACGTACTAAGAATTGTGACCTCTAACTTTTTATCGTTCAAACGGGCCCCTTGCCCGAACCTGCCACATAAGTCTACACTGACAAAAATATTGCATCACAATAAAAAACCGAAATTACGTGGCATACGCCATTTGTCTCTCATATTTGATTTTTTCTGCGTTTAGTAATCTATTATAAAAATTCGTGATTTGTCGTCGTCGTCAACTAATTTGTCTTCAAGAAATGACGTCATCAAACAGTGTTACGTTTTTAAAAAATGCAATAGCAAATATATTATTCTTTGCGGCGATAACGGTTTGGAGTGTCATTTTGATACGAATTTATTACATAAATAGTGTTAAATGTTACAGTTCCACACGCTGTTAAATTTCATTCTGTACAAACGATTTGGGGTGGGTGCATACCTATTGGAACAGCGCGTTGAACAGCCCGTTTACGGACAACCACGAGGAAAACATTCTTTCGTCAGTTCTGTGATTTGTAAAATTAATTTTTGTGAAGTCACAGTTTCTTTGTTCGCGAAGTCTGGTGACTGATGTTGTAACCTTTCTCCTCCGTCCTGGCTCATCGCAGCTTCCAGCTGGTAGGGATTGTTGGGTCGAAGGAATCCCTCAGGATTGTTTCCTCAGCTCAGCTAGTCGGTGTACATCGACTGACTCTCATTCGGTGTCACGGCCAGTTCGTAACAGCCAGATTGAACATTCGGATTGATTTGGATGGAACACACTAATTACTTATGACCTGCGTAATCGTTGATCCCACTTCACGCAGTCCAACTCTTGGTAGTTTACACTTTGTTAAGTTTCACAATACTCCCTAATGCACAACCACACTTTGACTTCTCCATTACCTCCTTTCTTAATACTGTAACATTTAACGTAATGTAATGCAATGACGCAATGTTGTAATTCTTCAATCTTGCAATATAATCCAATGTAAAGTAATCTTGCAATATTGTAAACTGGCAATAACCTTCTGCGCCAACCAACCGACCAACCAAAAAGCTAACTAAGGGCGGAATCCTGCGCAAACGCAAGACATCGTCCCTTCCTAGCTGAAACCATTCCTGCGCACAAGGCGCATTGCTGGAAATGGTAAACGGTCTTAATATAAAAAACGGAAATTTTGCTGAAAATGTTGAACAGAGCCTTATAATAAATACGGGAATTTAGATAACGCTAACCGCGGTTCC